CGCGCCCCGCGCCCGCGGCGACGATGACGGCGACGACGAAGTCTGAGGATCGAGGTGCTAGGATCGATGCTCGTGGGCGTTTTTCCCTCATAGCTCTTCGCTCAAGGGATCAGATGGCAACACAAAACGCCAAGGAAGAGTCCCACAGGGGAGACGGGGAGCCCGGGACCGCCTCCCTGGATCGCCTGGACCGGCAGCCATTACGCCTAAGACGCCTCGCCTCGATGCCGGCTACATGCCCAGTCTGGACGGACACGATCCCTTCAAAGACACACCAAAATGCACACGGCCGTGCTCTCACCCGTGTCCCCACATCCGCCACCGTGCCGCTGAGCACGGAGTGGGCCTGTCCTCAGGCCTTTTTACCCAATCCTTCAAGCTTCAATCCTCACTCCGGAGGAGTCTTAAAGGGGCCCGAAGCCCAAATGGCAAAATCTATCGAGGCGTGTCGCGGAACACCGCGCCCAAGAGACCCCCAAGATGGTCCAAGAGTGCTCCGAGTCGCCGAAAGATCGCTCCAAGGCGCCCAAGACGGCCCCAAGACGATCCAAGAGGCCTCCAAGGCACCCCCAGAGGCCTCCAAGAGGCCTCCCAAGAGGACCCAAAGAGGCCAAAATCAATGATTGTTCGGATTTTGACAGAATTGGGCATTCTCGTCGTTTCGGCTTCCCGACGCTACAATACGGCCTACGAGGCCCCCAAGATCGCCACAAGACAGCCCCAAAGGCCCCCAAGAGGGCCCCAAGACAGCCCAAGAGGGCCCCAAGACGGCCCAAGAGGCGCCCAAGACGGCCCAAGAGGGCCCAAAGACGGCCCCAAGAAGGGGCCCAGATGGGGACCCCGACCGGACATTTCGAGCCCTCGGCCCCGAGGGGCCTCCAGGAGGCCCCAAGAGGCCCCCAAGAGGCCCCCACGAGGCCCCCAAGAAGCCCCGAAGAGGTCCCAAGAGGCTTCCGAGAGGCTCCCGAGAGCGCTCCGAAGAGTCCCGAAGAAGCATCCCTGACGACTCTCACCCACAACCCAGGCACGGCGGCGGGACAGGCCGAAGGCCATTAGATAGCCGACCTCCTACTCCTCGATCCGCATCATCACCTTTGCTGCTATTAGGGTGCTTTGCTGGGACACGCGCCGGTCGGAAGTATGTAAAAGCATGGAGTAGGAAGGCGGACAAAATGCATTGGGTTCAGACCCTCCCAGAGAACAACGAAACGCAGCAAAAGCATACCAGTAACTGATTCAAAGAGTATATGTACACTCCAGTTCGCTCGCGCGGGGTGGCCCCTGGGTGCCCCCCCCCAAAAAAAGGCCGACTCCTGGGAAGGTCCACTCAAGGATGCCTTAACTCCCGTGGGCGCTTTCGGGGCCCTCCAGATCGCCCAGGAGCGGCCCAAAGAACCCCAGGGCGGCTGCAAAAGGGCCCACGAATTGGAATCACGACCCAAGAGCGCTCCAAGACGCCGAAGATGGACCCAAGACGGCCCAAGAGGCCCCAGAGAGGCCCCAAGAGCGCTCCAAGAGGACCCCAAAGATGGCAAAAACAATCGATAATAGTTGATATGGTTTGTGTTTTGTCTGTGCTTTTCGCGTTCTCGCGTTTTCGGACTTCCGACGCTCCAAGATGGCCACAGGGGCCCCCTAAGACCGCCCCAAGACGGCCGGAGAGGCCCCCAAAAGAGCCCCAAGACAATCCAAGAGGGCCCCAAAACGGCCCTAGAAGCGCCCAAGATCGTTCAAAGGCGGCCCCAAGAGGGACCCAAGAGGGGGAACACGAAACACCAATTCGAGCCTTCCGCCCCGAGAGGCCCCCAGGAGGCACCAAGAGGCCCCCAAGAAAGCCCAGCAGGCCCCCTGGAGGCCGCACGAGGCCCCCAAGAGGCCCGAACAGAGGTCCCTGAAGGTCCCCAAACGGCCCGCAAGAGGCCAAGAGGCCACGAACACGCACGCAAACGCCTGTGATGGCACAATACGGGCCGGCGGAATGAGCGAAGCGATCCGCCGCCCCACTGGGCACGGCGTGTGAGATCCACAGCGTGCTTCCTGCAAGCCCTCTCACCAGCGCGGTTTCCATACCTGACCCCTGCCCCTGAGCCCTCACAAACCCCTCCTCTATAGGGCCCTCCCCGCGGCCCGCTCATTCCGCCGGCCCGAGGGCCTGGGCTGCGGCCGGAACGCCCTCTGGCCACCACTTCCGTACCAAAACGACCCCCCTTTCACGTGCTCGGCTTCCGAGCGCCACCAGGCAGGCCCTCTCAGAGTTCTCTCCCGGAGCCCACTGGGCAGGTTTGGGGGGCCTCTCGGGGCTCTCCCTGGGCTGATCTTGACCGTCCTTCGGGCCACCAATGGCCGTCCCGGATGCCTCTCCACCTCTCCTCGAGCCTCATACCAGGATCTCAGGGAAGGGCAGCGGCGACGGCGGCGGCGGCGGCCACGAGGAGCGGCGACGACGCCGAGGTCTCGGCCTCAGGACGCGGGTCTCGGCGGTGCTGGGGAGGAGGCGCGCAGGGAGAGGGCAGAAGACGAAGAGCCACACTGAAGGGGCCCAGGGGCACACAGAAAAATAGAGACAAATCCTGGGATTCCCCCTGTTTTCTTCTTATACGTTCTGGGTTTTCGACTTCCCCCCACATCCCATTGTTTCCCATGTTTCCAAGGGATCGACGATTGATTGTGATTTGTTTTGTTTCCCTCCTGAACACACAAAGCATAAACTTCCAGAGCTCCGCGCGGACTTCTTGGATCGGCGCGGGACTACGTCGCCCCGGGCGCGCAAAGAGAGACGCCGCCAGAGGAGCCCCCAGCTCTGATCCAAGAAATCCGCGCGGAGCTCTGAATGTTTATGTTTACACGATGGTTTCTTCTTCGAACAGGGGAGGACGAATGGGAAGACGAGCTGATCCGCCCGAAATAGAGACAACATCGATTGGACGGCGCCCTGCGGCACCTGGCGTCCGAACTACACGGCTGCCGCTGCTGGCGCGGTAGGCGTTCGCCGCCGAACAGACCGCGGCCGCCCCGAAACTGACAGCGAGTCCGGAGTACAGTCAACGGTGTAACAAGGACGCACGATAAGGATGCAAGGGCCTGGCAAGCCATGCCGACACTTCTCGAACGGGGCGCGGCCAGCGAAAGTTGCCAAGGATGGGCCGAATGGGGGGGAAGCAAGGGTATGGGGGAACCAAAAGATACCGATGCCGCTACTCCCTGGACCTCTCCCGGGGTGCCTTCTGACCAGAATTTCCAAGCGAATCCAGCGGTGGCGACGAGGGCCTCTCAGGAGGCCCAGAAAAGGGAAAACGAGGCAAGGGTAGCGGCATAGGTACCCTTTCCTCCCCTGAGAATGGGGGGTGGGGGGCATGCAAGGCAAGGGAAGGCAAGGCAAGGAGCGCCCGAGTCCGCTGGGGAGCGGGGCCTGGAAGGCCGGCGCGGGCGGGCCAGGGCCCTCAGTCGCAGATGTGGAACCTGTGGTCAGGGCTGTGCGTGGCGTAGGAACGCTTGCTCCAGATTTCTCCATCGAGTGCGGTCTTACCTTGGAAGCCTCGCAAGGGCAACCTTGGAAAGTCGCTCGTCCTTGCCGTCCGCGCTCCGACTGCAGCAGGGACGACGGACAAGCCAAGAGCACATCTGCCCTCGGGGTCCGCGCGGATCTCTCTTGGGTCGGCGCTCGCCCCCCCCCTTGCCCCGGCGCGCGGAGCGCCGCGAGAGGGGCCCAGCGCGGATCCAAGAAATACGCGCGGAGCTCCGGAATCTTTTGCCCATTCTCCAGACAGCACTTGCATGGCACTTCGGGACTCTCACCTTACGACCGCTAGGATGTGGATGGGTTTAGCGAGGTGTCGCCACGTTGTCGCCTGTTGCCTCTTCGTTGCCTTCTCGTTGCCGCGTCGTGGGCCGGATGGGTCAAGCGAGGTTTCGCAAAGTTGCCGCCCGTTGCCGCCTCGTTGCCGCCTCGTGCGCAGGGGGGGCGGTCCAGCGAGGCTTCGCCACCGAGGTTTCGTCACGTTGCCGCCCGTTGCCGCCACGTTGCCGCCTCCTGCGAGGGGTGGGTCCTGCGAAGCTTCGCAAAAATGCCGCCTGTTGCTGCCCGTTGCCGCCTCATTACCGCCTCGTGCGCTGGGTGGGTCCGGCGAAGTTTCGCCACGTTGTCGCCCGTTGCCGCTTCGTTACCGCCTCTAGCTTGCACCGCGTATACTGCACGACGTAGCTTACACCACATAGCTTGTACCGCATAGCTCACGCATCTTCAGTGCAATGATTTACTGTGTGGAGATGATTTACTGTGTGGGGTCCTAGCTGCCTAAAATGTCGTGTGTGGCCCCTTCCGTCGCCCAAAAACCATCAGTCACTGCTGCCAGACTTTATCTACATTCGTCTCGTCACCCTGTCGGCCCTCTCGAATAGGAAGGATGTCTACTGGGCCCCAGACATTCGCCAGTCAGCTGACTTAGAACACCCGCGGGTCCGGAGGTAGGGGTCTCGAGCACGCGGCGCCTCGTGCAGTGGTGTGGTCCCTGGGGGCTGGGGGCTCGTGTGGCACCCGGCGACCACGGGGGACGTTGCCCCCGATTGTGCCCAAGGAAACAACCTTGCGCAAGCTAAGGAAAAAGCTGCAATACCCCTGCCAGAGCGCGGCAGGGTGCATGGCTGCGGGGTGGGGCCCCCGCGACATCGCCGATGCGAAGCTGCCTGCAAGACCTAACTTTCTAGGGGCAGGCCATTCAAAACGTATGACCAGTGGAACCGATTCCAGTCAGTACTTCATCCGTGTCCATGGTTGGACGGGGCCTAGTGCCCAAGCGGAGACAGCGCGGTGCCCCAAGGACGCCGGGCGCCAGCGGAGCGCGTCGTTGCTAGCCGAGCGCATCGGCTGCGAAGCTCGCCATGCCGTGGGCCAGCCAACCTCTGTGCCGAGCTGGCCGCGACAGTTTGGAAGATCGCGCTGCGGCGACGACGCCTGTGCCCGCCGTGTATGCTGGCACCCGCGGGGCGCGGCGAAGGCGCTCTCACCGGCCAGGTGCGGGCTGGAGCCAGCACGCCGGCAGCCCGAAGAAGCCGTCCGCCTGGCAGGCCTGCGTCAGCGCCGGGGCCCGCTCCGCCACCTGCGCCCCCGACCTGGCCTCCGCGAGGGCGGCCCGCAGGCAGCCCGAGCGCTGGGCCCCGCGCAGCAGGCGCACGGCGCGGGCGCGCAGCTCGCCGGGCGAGGGGCCCCACGGCACGGCCTCGCTGCCCCAGGAGAGGTCGCTGCGGCAGGCCTCCGTGGAGGCCTGCGAGACGGGCTCCTTGGCCTGTGGCGACAGCAAGTCCTCGTCCTCGTCGTCCACGCCGGCCCGCCTGCAGCACGGCGTCACGTCCCTGCTCGCAATCTTGCTGGCGGAGTTGGCCTTCGCCAGAGGCGTGGTCTCCCTCAGGTGCCCTGCCTGCGCCTCCAGGCCGCACTGGCAGAGGAGCTCGGCCGCGTCCGCGGCGTACTTGAGCGCCGTGTTCTCCTCCGCGCAGAGCCTGGGATCCCAGAGCGTGCCCCGAGCGCCTGCGGCAGTCAGCACCCTGTGCACGTACGGCACTGCGGTGCTGTCAGGTCCGGTCGCGTCTGGGCCAAAGGGGCCAGCCTGCAGTGGGAACGGGAAGAACTCGGTGAACGGCGGCAGGGCGCCCCCGAGATCATTCTCGAGCTGGTGCGGAGCGAAGTCTTGTTTCAGCTTGCTGACGTTGTCCAAGATGGTCAGCTTCTGGCGCTGCCGGTCCGTCATCATGGCCATCGCCACCCCGCTCAGGGCGCGCAGGGTGAAGGGCATATTGGCCACGTAGAAGCGGAAGACCCGACCGATGTAGTGGTGGCTCATGACGCCGTACACCTCGGCAAGGGCGTGCACGGGGACCTGGGAGATGCCAAGGCCCTTCAGGTCGAAGATCACATTGAGGTTCTCCACCTTTCCGGGCACGACCATGTAGCGGAGGAAATACTCCGTGCAGAAGACAAGGACGCGGACCAGCTTGTCAACCCGCTTCTCTTTGTACCACCGCTGGGGAATCCTGTTGCCCCGCACTACGACCGTCGGACGCAAGCACCTGTTGGCGGCGCGCACACGGGGGTAGGGCGAGGGAGGCGAAAGCTTCTTAGAAGAAGGCTGCGTCTTAGAAGGCGCTGGCCCTACATCTATAGACAAGGCCCACGCCTTCTGAGAAGCAGGGCGCCTCCAAGAAGCCTTCCCCCCTCCCCCCTGCCCCCCCCTCAGCGCGTGGCCGAACCTGTCCCGGCCGCAAAAGTAAACGATGCCATGGCCCAGGTCCTCCCGCAGGTCCTCGTCCCTGAGCGGGCCGGCCTCGAAGTACCTCTCGAAGGGAAGAGCACCGCATGCTCCGTGCACGGGCCCTGGCCAGGCTCATCCTGAGCCCAGGAGCGGTGCCCACGCCTCCTGGCCTGGCCAGGAAGGTCACTGCACCGATCCCTGGGGCCAGCAGTGGGCCCGGCCAGGCCCAATGGGTGCGCACCGTGCTCGCCGCCCGACCTCTCCCGCCACTCCTGCGTCTCCTGCATCAGCTTCAGCGCCCTCTTGCAGTCGCCGCGCGAGCGGCTCAGGAACCGGGTCGCCATCGCAGCGACCGAAGGAAAGAACTCAACGCCCCGTTCGAACGCCTCGTGCTGCAGCTGGCACAACCTCTGCAATTCCTCAGGCTGCAGCTCCGTGTTGCAGTGGATCTTCCTCTCCGCGTCGCCGTTCTTGAAATGCGAAAACATCAGATCGGCTGGCGGCTGATACGTGAGCGCCTCCGCTGGCAGCGAGAACGTGCTCACGTTGTGTTCCTGTGGTGGCCCTCCGCCCCTACCCTCTCCTGGAGCAGGCGCTGGCCAGGATTTCGAGGCGAATCAGCCGTGGCGGCGAGTTCCAAAACACCCTTGCCCTGTCCACCTCCTCGTCCTCCCTCCTCCCTCCCTGCTCCCCCCTCCCCTCCCCCCCTCCCCCTCCCCCTCCCCCTCGTCCTCCTCATCCTCCTCCTCCTCCACCTCCTCCTCCACCTCCTCCTCCTCCCCCTCCTCCTCCTCCTCCTCCTCCCCCTCCTCCTCCTCCTCCTCCACCTCCTCCTCCTCATCATCATCCTCACCTGCGAATTCTGTTCCCCCCATACCCGTCCAAAGGTGCGCTCTGGACAGGGCGGCGAGGTGGGGGACCGGGCCGTGGCGGAGAGAGGCCTCCCTGAGGCGCGAAGAAGTCCGAAGAAGAAGAAGAGAAGCAAACCAGACGAGGGCACTAGACATCGTGCTACCATAAGGAAAGCCGAAGAAGCCACGAAGGTGCATACCTGGCCACTGCAAGCCTCGGCCACGAGGAGGTTCCCCGACCTGGATTGAAGGAACGGCCCGAAAACCAGAACCCCTCTTGAGGCCAACGCGGTCCATATTTGAACATCTTGACTGTAGCGGCATCCTAGGTGGGCCGAGTAGATAGGGTCGAAGGATTGCACCGCCTCGGCGATGCATCGGCGACGTCGGCGATGAATCGGCGACGTCGGCGTGGAGAAAGGCGAGGTCTACATCGAGCCGCATCGCCGATGCATTGGCGATACATCGGCGATGCGGCGCGGTCCCCCGACCCCATCTACTCCGAACCCATCCTGGGAGCCCTAGAGATCCTCGAACCTCGATCCTCGAAATTCAAACCCCCGTCCTCGACGACGATGGGGTCGGACTCTGGCTTGATGCGGAAGCCGCTCTCGCCAACGTCGTGCAACTCCGGAGGCAGGACGAAGGAGCACCTCGAGCTGCTGCGACTGCCCTCTGGAGGCCCCCCAAGATGGCAAAAAGCAGCGATTTCCTTAAAGTACTTGGATGCGTTTAGTCGTCGTCGCCGCCGTCGTCGTCGTCGGCGTCGTCGTCGTCCCCTTCAGTGTCGGCGGAACTGGCCGCAAGGCCTTCGCAATAAAACAACATCGGGGGCTAGAGAATGAGCCTTTCCCTTCAGGTGCAACCCCGCTCGGGGAGGGCGCGACTTGTTTCATGCGCCTGCTACTGCAGTTCGAACTTCTGAGGATTCACGTACGCCAGAGAAAAAACAATGGTAAAACCATACGCTTGAACAAAAAGTGCCCCAGGTGGGAAACCCTAAGATTCTGCAACAGAAACGCCACATGAAAAAAACACTCGCTGACAAAACGAACGCCGCAAGGCGACAAAAAAAGCACAGGAATGAAGAGTACTTACCTCTCCCCTGACCCCCAGAGGCTAGAGCCCGCCAGGGGGCGTGGAACCTGTGGGTCGTTGAGGGGTCACACCGCCCTCGTGGCGACCGGCCGGCCAAGGTCGCCCCACTCAGACAGTCTCTACCCGAGGCAGGGATGAAATACAGTTTGAGACCGACCACAAGGAACCTTCCACAAGAAACCCAGCCCTGAGACCCCAGGACGTCCATTGATTTGTGGTGTGGGAACGTCACGCTTTCCATAGCAAACCCATCGAAACCGAAGAAGCTCAGGGTACCCTGGAGGCAAGCAGGGGGGTTCTTGGCCAGGGCTTCCACTGGAAGTCGGTACAGATCCGGCCGTGGCGACGCGGAGCCTCCACGAGGCCCCGACAGAAGACGAAAAACGCCGGGGAGGGCCGTCGTTGTCTCTCTGGGTCCGCTTGCGACCATCCCCTCCCCCGAAGGTCCAACCCTAGCGCTGCGAATGCCGAGCAAGCCAGGGCGGGTCGACGGCAGCGACTGTGAGTGGCTCGAACGGCGCTCCAAGGCACCCACGCCTGCCGCCCTGTGCTCTGAGGCGCTGGCAAAACGGAGCGGAAGTTGTTCGTTGCTCTCGGTCTCTGGGGGGGCCCCAGGCCCAGGACCGTCAAGCAACGACTCAGGAGGAAGAGCCCGCCCTGGGGGAGTGCCGAGACTCCCAGAGAGCCCGCATGGAAAAAATACAGCATCGGATCTCTGGGGATATGGTGGATCCCGGAAACCCTGAACACAAAACAGTTTTCATCTCTTGGGGGTGCATCGTTTACTTCCGCCGCCTTCCGCCGTCCTTCCGCCAGCTTCCGCCGGCGGAGGCGGCCTTGTTTTACTTCCGCCGGCCGTCCGCCGCTCTTCCGCCGCCTTCCGCCGAGGAAGAAGATGGCAACTCCTTCGATCCTCGAAGGCAAGGCACTTTTTGGAACGCCTAATGTGAAAGAATCGAATACAAAGTTTTACCCGCGGGCTTCGACAATCGAAGGAGGAGAAGGGTTTGGACGCTTTCGCAAAGAATTCTAAAATTCCTAAGCCCCTGCGGGCCTCCACGAGCCTCTGGGTGCTTCTGGGGAGCTCGGGGAGCGCCAAGGGGTCAGGGCACAAGGCGGCAACCAAATTCACCAGAAGAAAAACGAGGTCGTGCTCGTCCTCCTCTTCATCCTCCTCCTCCTCCTCCTCCTCCTCCTCCTCCTCCTCCTCCTCCTCCTCCTCCTCCTCCTCCTCCGTATCTCTCCCTCTTTTTTTCTCTCTCTCTCTCTCTCTCTCTCTCTCTCTCTCTCTCACTCTCTTCCTTCACCCCTTCCTCCTCCCTCCTTCTCCTCCTATTCCTTCACCTTTTCATCCGCTCTCCCTCTCCTCCCGATTCCTTTACCTCCTCCTCCTCCTCCTTCTCCTCCTCCTCCTCATCCTCCTCCTCTTTCTCCTCCAACTCCTCTTCCTCCCTTCCTCCTCCTTCTCCTCCTCTTCCTCCCCCTCGTCCTCCTTCTCCTCCTCCTCCTCCTCCTCCTACGCCTCCGACTCCGCCTCCTCCGCCTCCTCCGCCTCCTCCTCCTCCTCCTCCTCCCCTCCTCCTCCCCTCCTCCTCCTCCGCCTCCTCCTCCTCCTCCTCATCCTTCTCCTCCTCCTCCTCCTCCTCCTCCTCCTCGTCCTCGTCCTCCTCCTCCTCCTCCTCCTCCTCTCCCTCCCTCTCCTCTCCTCCTCCTCCTCCTCCTCCTCCTCCTCCTCCTCCTCCTCCTCCTCCTCCTCCTCCTCCTCCTCATCTTCTCCTCATCCTTCTCCTCCTCTATGCTATCCTCTCCCTTCCTCCTCCTCCTCCTCTCCTCCTCCTCCTCCTCCTCATCATCTCATCATCATCATCATCATCATCATCATCATCATCATCATCATCATTCATCATCTTCATCATCGCATCATCATCATCATCATCATCATCATCATCATCATCATCATCATCATCATCATCATCATCATCATCATCATCATCATCCCTCCTCCTCCGCCTCCTCATCCTCTCCTCCTCCCCTCCTCTCCTCCCTCCTCCCTCCTCCTCCTCCTCCTCCTCCTCCTCCTCCTCCTCCTCCTCCTCCTCCTCCCCCTCCCCCTTGTCCTCCTTCTCTTCCGTTTCTTCATCCTCCCCCTCCTCTTCCGCCTCCTCCTTATCTTCCTCCTCCTCCTCCTCCTCACCATCATCAGCATCAGCATTAACATCAGCAGCATAATCATCATCCTCATCATCATCATCATCATCATCATCATCATCATCATCATCATCATCATCATCATCATCATCATCAGCATCATCATCATCGTCATCATCATCATCATCTCATCATCATCATCATCATCA